TTCTGTAAACATTAGAAATTAGTCCCTTGTTTCATATGCCATTGCCAAAAATTGTTTCTGCATCTATAGGTTCTCTTTTGGTAAAATCTTTTGATGTGTATGCTATTGCTGTTGGTAAATGCCATTGAGTTAACTCCTATTTAATGTGCATATAAATGTTTAGTTATTAGGAGATCCCAGTTATCTAGTTTGTCTGGTACTATTTGTGCATTCATATTTTTGTTTGATAGTTTATATATGTCACATATTAGGGGCTCCTAAGTTTGCCATTATGTTTTCCTTAATGATATTTATGGTTTTAGGTTTTACATTTAGGTCTGATCAATCTTGAATTAATTTTTAAATATGATGATAAATATGGATCCTGTTTCACTTTTCTGCAGTTTTTCCTGCACCATTTCTTTTTTCCTAACTTTTTATTATGAATGGAGTGAAGGTTTACAGAGCAGATCACCAGTTTTATCTTCAATGAATCATATACTTTACTTCATACAATGATTGCAATCCCCTCAAGTACCATCATAGTAATCACCTCTATTCACTTTAACTCTTCTTGCATACCTCCCTGTGCCTCCCACTACCTTCATCTTTCCTCTGACACCCTCCATCTTGTTATATATTGCCTGACCTATCAGTAATGCTGACATTTGTCTACCTCTAGCCCATGAATAAGTCTCCCACTCACCCTCGAAACCATCGTAGAATGTTTCTTTTATCAAGAAAACCTTTTAATTTTTTGCAATAGTGGTCTCATACAATATTTGTCCTTTTGTGATTAACTAATTTCACTCAGCATCATGTCCTCCAGGTTCATCCATATTGTGAGGTGTTTTGTAGATTCATTGTTGTCCTTCAATGTTGCGTTGTGTGTATGCACCAAAGTTTGTTTAACTTGATGGGCATTTAGACAATCTTCATCTTTTTGATGTATCTCTTGTAGATAGCATATTGAAGTATCCTATTTTCTTATCCATTCTGCTTTCTCTGTCTCTTGACTAGTGCATTTAATCCGTTTACATTCAGTGTAATTATTGATTGGTATGTATTGATTGCTGACATTTTGCTGTGTGGTTTCGTGTGTGTGTGTGTGTCTGTGTGTGTGTGTTGCTATCGGTTTATTTGTTCCACAGAGTTTTCTGGGCTGAGTTATTTTGCTTGTGGGCTTTATTTTCATTTTCTTCATTTCTGTTGCTTACTAAATCTTTTTTATTTTGATGTGAAATGTATTAATTTTATCCTGTAACATTAATTTTTCCTCATTTAAGACAGTCTGTTTTACCTTGAAATTTGCTTGACTTTCTCACCACTTGGAAGTTCTGTATTTACATTATTCCTTCTTTTTGCTGTGTAGTTGACTTCATTATACATTGATATCTCTATTATTTCATTGTACACCTAATACTAAATAGGTTTCCTATTTTCAGCCGTGTAGTTTTGTTTTAAGGAGCATAGTGGTTATGAGTTGGGCTGCTAACCTCAAGGTCAACAGTTTGAAACTACCAGCTGTTCTGTAGGAGAAAAATGAGGCTTTCTGCTCCCATAAAGAATTATAGCCTCAGAAACCATATAAAGGGTCGCTATGAGTTAGAACTGATGCCACAGCACATAATCAATCATCATCAATCAAGTTTGTTATACTTAAATATTTTTATATCTGGATTGAGTTCTGGTTGTTGTTGTCATGTATACTAATCTCAGGTTGTTGTTTGCTGTTGTTTATCAGTACAAAGAAACCCCTTTAGCACTTTTTTCTAAAGTTAGTCTAGTTATTTCAAATTCCTTTAATTTCTGGTTAGCCGAAAATGTACTAATTTTACTGTTGTATTTGAGGGACAACTTTGCTAGGTATTGATTCTTGGTTGGCAATGTTTTCTCTTTCAGAGCTTTGTATATGTTATCTTATTGTCTTCTAGCCTGAATAGTTTCTGCTTATAAATCAGATCTTAGTCTTATTTGTTCTCCTTTGTAGGCAACTTTTCATTTTCCCCCAGTTGCTATCAAGATTCTTTCCTTGTCTTTGGTTTTAGAAAGGTTGATTATGGTATGTCTTGGTAATTTTCTTTTGGGATCTATCCTGTTTCGGGTTTGTTCTGCTTCTTGTATGCTTATCTTCTTGTCTTTCATGATGCTAGGGAAGTTTTCATCCAACAAAATCTTCAACAATTTTCTGTGTACTTTTTATTGTTTCTCCCTGTTCTGGAATCCTAATCACTCATTCATGGTGTCCCACATAAAGCTCAGGCTTTCCTCCAGTATTTTAAATTATTTTTTCAGGTTGTTCTTCTAACATTTTGGTTGTTAAGTGCTGTTTAGTCTGTTGTTCTAACTCATAGTAATCCTGTATAGGGTTTCCTATTAGTATTGAAAGATTTATCTTCAAGGCCACTAATTTCAGGCTTCCACAGCTTCAAATCCATTCCTTTCTCTTTTCAATGTATTGTCCATTTCTGAAATATTAGTGTTTAGCTTCTGGATTCCTAATTGCAGGTTTTTTATTGTTTCAAAATTTGTATTTATGTTGTCTGTTTGTTATTATAGTGTCTTCTTGAATTCCTCTAAAGTTTATGTCTGTGTTCTCCTTGCTTTCCTGGATCTTTCTGTCAATCCTTTGAAGGTACCTAAGTATCATTATTTGAATTATTCTTCAGTTAGTTCCATTACTTTTTCTTTGTCAGAAATGTCTTCTGGCTCTGGATCTTGGTCGTTTGTTTGATCTGTTTTCTCTTGTTTCTTCACATGAGCTAAAATTGTCTGTTGTCTCTAGGACATTGTGGTGTTGTATTTGTATGTTGATGATTGTATGTTGATGTGTTCTTAGGCTCTCACCAGCTGCCTCCTATGGATAGAGTTAGAGAATGGAAGTGTGTGCATCGTTCTTTATTTGAACACCTCAGTTTAAGATGGATTTGATTGGTGATGCTGCTGTCTATTTTGATCAAATGATATGGGAGGTGGTATTGACTCTTGCCCAGTTGGTGGAGTTACAGAGGGTAGGGTTGTGGTTGTGCTGCATGGGCATGGTTGTTGTGTCCTGTTCAATGGGAAAGAGGAGAAACACACACCCAAGAAAACAACACAGAATAAGCAAACAAGCAACCAACAATGAAACGAGAAAACAATAAAGGAGACAAAAGATATAAAAACAGGCAGTAATCAGAAAACAAAGAATATATTAACTAAAAAGAGATAAGAGGGACAGGAAAATGGAGCTATAGGAGAGAAAAGTAAGAGAGAAAATAAAAGTAAGAAATAAAAATCACTTAGAAAAACAAGGGAGAGGGAAGATCAAAGGAGAGAGAGTAGAGAGTAGTAAAGAAAGATAAAAAGAAGAAGGAAATGAGAAACAGAAGAAACGAAGGAAAATCAAAAGCATAGATTTGTTGTTGTTAAGTGTGGTCAAGTCAGTTCCAACCCATAGCGACCCTGTATAGGATTTCCGAGGAGCAGCTGGTGAGCTTGAACTGCTGACCTTGCAGTTCAAATGGCTTTGCAGTCTGGCACATTAACCCACAGCGCCACACCAGGAGATAGAAAGGATAAAATTCAAGGGAATGGAAAGAGAAGGAGAAGAAAGAATAAACAAACAAAAGCAATGAAACAATGAAAGGAAAAAGCAAAACAATAAACCAGGGCAGCACTTGGACCCAGGGAAGAGTAAACTCTGGGGGGTTCCTGCCAGCCAAGGAACTCATGAGGTGGGTGTAGTAGAGATGCGACAGTGCAGATCCTGACCATAGATGTTGTTCATTAGGCCAATGTGTTACCTTTGTTCAAGACACTCAATCCAGAGTTCATGGAGCCGTTTGATGGTGCTGGTTTCAGCATCTTTTAGGACCACAGGGCAGCTGGGGGCAGGGTGGCTGGGTATGAAGTTTTTTGCTAGACTAATGCTGGACTGGTAGCTCTGAAGGCTCTGTAGGTCTGGAACCAAGCCTACCTGAATCCAGGCACCAAAACGGCACAGGCAACCCCCACCTTACACTGGCATGACTCACAATCACAGTAGTATGAACTCCCAGAGAGCAGGGTCTGCACTGGGGGTGATTGAGGCTGGAAGCTAGCCATACTTCTGGTCACTAGTAGAGTGTGTGAAAAAGAAGGAATCATACCTTTCCTGTCAACTGTGTGAATCTGCTTTGCCAGACCTTCTTATGTCACCAAAGTTGCTCACAAAAGTTCAAGATGTATCTGTACTGTATCTAGACAGCCATTCACCAGTCTCTTTCTCTCAACATCTCTGCTCAGCTTTTCCTCCCAGCAAGTTATCTAAACTTCCTCTGAGGTTAAGGGTTCCAGGATTTTCATCTGTATCTGCTTCATTTGGTCTCTCATATCTTTGTTGTACAGAGTGTGTGTATTGCATCTGCCTAGTCTGCCATCTTGCTGGAATTCTGCCAGCACCAATTCTTAAAGAGACTGTCTCTTCCCCCATTTAATGTGTTTCTACTATTTGTCAAAGATCAAATTTACTTCTGGGTTCTCAATTCTGTCTCATTTGTCTGTGTGTCATTTTACCAGTATCTGGCTATTTTGACTACTATGGCTGTGTAGTAGGTTTTGATATTGGGAAGTGAGTGGCCTCCTACTTTATTCTTCTTATTTAGTAGTAATTTG